TGTATGTTGTTTTTCTCTTCTGGGATAACTATGACCAAAGAAATAAAAAAATTCATGTCTAACGACGAAGTTCTTACAATGATAAATATAATTCAGCGATTAGAGTGGTTGCTATTGTTTCATTTAATATGATGATCATCTATTCAATCATCACAGACCAAGCAGCGCTCTAAATTCTAAAAATTACTTGGAGTAAGTATTTATGATGAATTCAGGGGCAAACCACTTGGTTTGAAGCGCTAGATGACTCCTTATAGATGTAGCTAACACACATCTTGTTGGCGAACAATGTAAATATTTGTGTTTCTACTTCTATTGCATTATCGATTTTTCCGTTCCGTTCTAACAAATATTACAATAATAAAAACTTATACGTAGTACAGTCATACATACATACTGGGTTCCTACACATACAATAAATGTCACACTTTTGTCTAAAACCATTGGCGCAGATCATGGTGGTTGACAATGTGTGGACATAATTATGTAGAGAGCATATAATTTCTTTGTTTGGAAGCCAAATTTGGCTACGGTCCACAACATCTTTTGGATACCTTTTTCTGAGGAAAATGCACAATAATATTAATAAACGTCACCCACATTGGCCTTTGTGTGATGAGTTGTTAGGTTCTTTTTGAAGTTTGTTACATATATGTGTACCATTAATGGCAGCTTCCACATGTGGATCGAGGGAGAGACCGCGCGCGACTCGACATCCCTCTAGCTCGGCATTTAACAAGTTGGGTACTAAAGCACGCTGGTGGTTAATAAATGCACAATTTTTTTGGCTTCACGCAGAAATTAGCCACAAACTGCAACTGCGATGGTTGATTAAACGTTGAATTCATCTCTTTATGGTAGAATTTTTGTCTTCACTTGGAGAAAATAGATAATTATGTTTCCTGGTTCACACATTTTTAAATATTTTTCACACGAGAGTATTTGATACATATACGAAAAGAATTTACGTTACTATTATCTCTACTCTTATCATGCAATAAATGAGGAGAGTAATAATGGCGTTACTATTTCACAAAAAAGTAATATATTAACACCGATGGGTGTCTAGAGTTGTAGTCTATAAGGCCTCCGACAATATTTCTACTTTAGTTCCACTATTAGTGCTTCGAGCTTCTTTCCAATAGGGTTGAAGTGCCCTTAATGCTATTTTTACTATCTAGAAAGTAAAGATTAGTAGCTTAAATTGGTTTAAATGCATAATAAAATATTGTCTAGGAAAATTTCACCTAATGCAACCAATCATCCTCAATGGAGAACGCATTGAATTAAGATCGATTGCTTTAGATTTATCTCAATTCAATCTGACAAGGAGACATGCCCTGCCCGCAAGGTCTTATATATCATGTGACGGGTGTTATTATTGCTATCTTGTGTGCGAGGTCTCTTTATAACACAAGAAATTTATGAAGATGTGATATCACCTGTAGCATATTTAGTAGAAAAAATCGAGTGTCTCTTGTTTGGTGATCCAGTGATTGTCTAGGAGCGAGGTCTTGTCATACATAGAACAATTATCGTTTATCTCTTGTTTACCAATGCATGTTCGAGGTCTCGTCATGCATGCATTGGGGCAATTGATACAAATTATCATGCATGTGTGATGTCTTATCTTCCATTTAGAATAAGGAGGTAAGCAAGTAACAAGAATGAAATTAACGTCGATATCTTATTACTAAGAAAAAGTATAGATACACATAGGATCCACCCCCTAAATTATATGCATTGCTTAGCGCGACATCGAGAGGGAGTGTGCATACATAGTTGTTCTTATCTCATGCGAAACTAAACTACAACAGAGTTTAGGATCATGGAATCCTAGCAGTTCACCTCTTAACGAACATACTTTGACCAAATGCGATTATGAAAGGCTTTACGTTTGAACCAACCCCCTATTTTAACCTAGTCCCCAAAACCTAAAATCTAAGGTACGATTATAGAATTTGATACATCGTGTTTTCCTTCCTATGTGGTTGGCTATTATTTAGGATATGCATGATTATTAGTTTCCGATGTTTAAGTGATAATTTTAATATGAACCTTAAAATCTTATGATTTTAAACCACGATTCCGATTTTAACTCAGTTTTTTATTTTACGTAAAATCTCGATTTTGACTACATTACATGTGGGTTCGAGTTTTGTTTCCATCCCTGTCGACTCATGCCTGACACGCTCCCCCCTCCCCCTGGTGAGTTCCTTTGCCTCCCCCCCTTATACAAGGAAAGGGAATGGTTCCAAATTTTTGAATTTCTGGCCCAGCACTAAAGATGGTCTTAGAAGTGAAAAAAAACTTGGTCCGAAATAATGGTAGGGGTGGGCAACGAAAAACGGGTATTTGGGTATACCCATACCCATCCCATTTTTTTAGGGTTACGGGACCTAAATACTTGTAATCTTTTTTACGGGATGTGACATAGGATCAAGAAGTTCTACTAGGTACCATAGGTTACCCGTACTACCCAACCACCCAAATTATATGCGTCAAACTTTGCTAGTTGCACAATGCACCACATATTTTATTCCCACTCTAGAACATTTTAGGTTCCGTTGCATATGCACTTGAACTTTTGTTTTCCAGCTTTGGAGTGTTCACCATTCTTCATCCATTGATCCCCTTATACAAGAAAAGATGGAGTTCTTTTGAATAGTATTGTAATGGGGGAAATAAGACAGTTTGCTTTTAGACTCTACATGCAAACATAGGAACGTGATTTGCCACGGCTACACCACTAATTAATCCAGGCTAGAGCCCAAGTTTTTAAACTCTAGCCGAGTGTAGTATAGGGCAAGTGTGTTTTAATTGTGAAACCCGGCCGGTCCATGTACCCTTACTTCAATCGCTTAGTTGTTATCTAGCAAAGGATTTTGGGTTTAAAACTAAGAAAACTACAAAATAAACAAACAAGTAAAGTAAATCGAGGTTGTCCCAATGAGAGAAGAATTCTCCCGAGTATTGCTACCCCTAGCTACACATCAAGATCGACCAAATCGAATGCAAATGTGTGGAGGTGTGTTCATACACTATAGGAGGGCACAACAAGTGAAGGAAACCTCACTTGCTCAATCAATCAGTTAAGGAAAATAATTAAGCTAGGAACCTTAGATCTCTTAATCAATGGATTAAGGATTGCTACAATAAATTAGGAAGTCTAGCTCTCTTAACCTTTCGGCTAAGGTTTGCAACAACAATCTAGGAGTCCTAGCTCTCTTAACCAATAAAACTAAGGGTTGCAAGAACCAATCCCTCGAAACTTAATTCGAAAGGCAAAGTAACAACCAAGTTAAAGTGCTAAATCGAAATTTGAGGTTTCCCTAATTTTTCCTAGGTAAGTGACTCAATTGGCCAATGAATCCAGCTAATCAAAGCCTCCTAACAAAAAGGGGAATTCCCTCTACCTAGGTCAAATTGGCATAGTAATGAGAGATGAAGAACACAACCCAAATATCATGAAAATATCTCAAACTTTGCATTAAATACAAACCCACACACAAAGCAATCAATTAATACAATCTATCACATATTTCAAGCTAGGGTTCACAACACCCAAGTGAATAGGTTGCATATTCCATAGCTAGATAAGGGAAAACAAGATAAAGGAGAGAAAGAACCATGAAGAGATGACAATCTTCTTTCATTGTTGCTTGAATCTTCCTTGAGAGGTAAGATTCTTCAGATTCTTCACTCCTCTACTTTAGGACAAGCCCAAATCTCCTTCTTTCTCCTTTGAGTGGCACTTTCTCTCTCTATAATAGGAATAGGAAATCCTAATCTCTTTAGAAACCCCCCTTTATTCTGAAAACTAAAATGCTAGTAAAAGCTCTCCTTTTTTTTATGAACAAAAAGCTCTCCTTTCTCTCTCCCAACAGCCTTCTATTTATAGAGCTCGATAGTCACGGTCGTGACATTGGAGCCCTGACCGTGACATTGGACCAAAACGCAGGTCTCTAGTGTAGTTTTTGGTCCACATCACGTCCTAGGGATGATTTTCACGGCCGTGAACACACCGAGGTCCATTGAGGTGCAAAAGCCTCATGTTTCCATCAGACTTCACGACCAATGATCAATTGTCACGGTCTGGTGACTGTGACATTTGACCTCTGCCCTTGACCTTGAATTGTCATGCCCTCTGATCAATTATCATGGTCTGGTGACCGTGACAATTGACCTCTGCCCGTGACCTTGGAGTGTCCTTCACTTTACTTCACTTTTTTGGCGCTTTATCGAGTCCAATCATCCCGAACTCGTCATCGACCTTCCCACACATGCTAGGACCTGAAATGTATAAAAAAATAACACAACCTAGCGTAAAATAGGTTGAGAGACGACGAGATGCATAGTCAAACTATCATGACAACCCATAATAAGGTTTATCAAGACAGTTCTAAGTCCTAACAACATGGAGCCATCGAGCCCATAATTCTTAAAGTCGGAAGCAAATTTATAGTCCACTAGACGTCATTTTTTTCCTGGCGTTGTGTTCTCACAAAACTAGATGGTGATCGTAAGGACCAGAGTCGCCGCTAGATGAGTCTCTTAGTGGAGTGGAATTCTCCAAGACCAGTAAAAAGGAACCGAAGAAAAAGCCCAAATAACGAAAACCACCCAAATTAATGAATTACCAACGAGTACCCGTTATCCATCCCGTACAGATAATGTGTACTCGTTAACCCATACAGAATTTGAGACATGGAATGAAATTTTCTCTGCAAATGGCTGGTTACCCATTTCAAACCACCCCTAAATAATGGAGGAAAAAAACTTTTTTTTTGACAGTTGAGGGAAAAAAAAAAAACTTGACTGGGCGGAAATTGATTCACCAAGGCCCGGGCCGGCCCGGCCCAATCCATTGATCAGCTTTCAGCACCAGTCCGTACGTATAGTTAATTTTTAAATAATTTTTGTTGGACAACTTATGACTTAGGTGAGTTATTATTCCAATGAGAATGAGGATGAGAATGTTTCTCGATCGTTCCATAAACATTCTTCCCCGCCCCCAAACGGCGGCGTTTCCCTTTTCCCGTCCTCTAAGCGCCTCGTTTTGTCGTTCCCTCTTTCACCCGCTACACTCGGTGGCTGCTCAAGGAAACGAATCCACCTGAACATGGCCGCTCGGAGATTCTCGGTCACCTGCAACGGCTTCACTTTCGACGTCGATTATGACGCCGGTGACGGCTTTCAGGTATCCTTCCTGATCCAGTCCCCAATCTTTCCATCCATCTGTCAAAATTGTCTCTCTCTCACTCTCAATTGTGGATGGTTCTTTTCCAAGGTTTTCAAGTTCCAGCTCTTTTCCCTCACCTCAATCCCTCCAGACCAGCAAAAGGTTCCTCTCTCCTCCTCATCCTCCGTAACGCCGTGCTTTTTGCGTGCGTTTCTGTTCAATGTTGATGGCGGCGGGGCGTGTGTGTAGATCATCGGAGAAGATGACGGCTCCGTTATATCGGATGATTCTGATCTCTTGTCCTCGTCCGGGAAGCTGAAATTGGTGTCGATCGACGACGAAAAACACGATGAGGAGAGCAGCGCGCGAGGAGAATCAGGCGATGATACCAGTTCTTTCCTCAAATCCGACGAGGAATTCGCGCGAATGCTTCAGGTCAGAATCTGTTTGGGGGATTCTCCGACTTACAGTTTTTTTTTTATGCCCTGGGTTCCGTTTTCGGAGACTGATTAGGCGGAGGTATTTTTGTACCTCAGGCGGAGGAAGAGGCGTTAATGCTGCAGCATGTTGTAGCTACTGAACAGAGTGAGCAGTTTGAAGAGAGGCTGCGGCCATACGTCGATAAAGTCCTGCTGGTAAACCATTGATTCACGCTTTGTTTGAAGATTCTTATCTCAGAATGGAATTTTAGGCACAAAAAGGGAATATGTTTCCTTGTGGTTGTTCTTTGTTATATTCATCAATTAGCGACACTAGAGAAGAAATGGAGGATGGAGCGTTCACGCCATTTCATTTTTCTTTGAACAACAATGATATGGGGATGGATGTTTTGAATGATGTGATGCTTTGCTTAGTAGTTGGCCAACTATTGATTATGCAGTATGAGGATCCAGTACGCCAAGAGGCAGCTCAGAAGACGGTTCCTGTCGATGAGCTTGAGGAGAAGGCATTGGTTTCTTTGGCCAAGGTACGACCTTGTGAAAATCTGTGGGATCTATTGGCCCCTCTATTTTTGCCCTGTCCCTCTGCTACTTGAAGTAAAGTTGGCAGCTTTAAAATTTTCCCCGAGTGATTCTGGCTGGTCTGACACTGGTAGAAGAGTTCCCACTTGCTGTGACTGTGTTGTGGTTATTTAGAAACTAGTAATACATTATGCAGTCTGCATGTATTTATGATTCAGGGGAAACAACTATGTCGACCATGGTTGCATAAGCAGAGAGCTGCACGGAACTAGATGCTGAGAGGTTAAGGCTCATCGATGATTTAGGGGAGACAACCTTCTCACCAGCCTTCTACTAACAGACATTTTCTCTCTCGAAAGGATTGATCTGCATCTCTTCTCTTTGAAGGAAGATACTTTTGTAACTTGTGTTATAGCTGTCGTAGGACTTGTATCCTTCTATTAGTGAATGAATTTTTCTCTCTGTCCTAATCTTGATGTGAAGTTTTTCATTTACTATGGGTATTTTGGAGTAATGTTGAACTCTTCTTAGAAGAAACTTAGTCACCTTGCTATGCGGTAGCTTTTATGTTTAGGGCTTCTTCGTTAAGATCGTTTTGAGGTGAGAATTTCAATGAATGACTAGAACTGCATAGTTTTTAAGAACGACAATACTAGTTGCATGCATCAATCGTGTAAACTTAAATATTTAAAAGGTCCACAGTATGCAACTTGGTAATCCAAACAGTAAATATATTTCAGGAAGGGAGGTTTAAGCCAACAAAGGCTGAGCTAGACCATGCTTTCCTACTCCAGCTGCTTTTCTGGTTCAAGCAGTCATTCAGGTGCCATTTTTACTTCTTTTCAGTTGGTACCTGATTCTTTAAGTTGTAGTAGGAGCTCCTAATGGTTAGTCAATAAGTTCTGCAATCTGAAATGGATAATCAAGGAATTACTTCTCTGCCGTCATTTTAGGTTCCATATACAGTCCAAGAGTACATCAGAGAAGTTTGTGTGCTAGGGTACTAAGTATACTCTTGTCCTTAATTGTCATTTTTGGATTTTCATATAGGTGGGTTAACGCTCCTCCTTGTGACTTATGTGGCAATACTACTGTTAACCAAGGAATGGGTGCTCCTCTTCCCTCTGAAACAAAATATGGAGGGACTAGAGTTGAACTTTATCGGTAAGTTCATTTTATTTCTAACTGGTAGATCAACTGTATATCATCATTTTATGCACTGTAAGTCTTATGGCTCTCCTTGGGGCCTATCAAAATGATTGGATGTGGAAAGTAGTTTGAACACCACTTTCCCATCCCCAATCGATTACGCAACCAGTTGACTATTTTCTTCCCCTGTCTTCTATCTAGCTGTGATTCTTGTTCAACCACCACTCGCTTTCCACGCTACAATGACCCCTTAAAGGTAATTTTTGTTGCTGCTAAATCCCATAAGGGTACTCCTAGTTCAGACTGAATTTGCTTCACAGTTCAATATCTTGAATTTGCGTGCTCTTACTTATATTCTTTTCCTTTATGAGCGTAGCTCTTGGAAACTCGAAGAGGTCGTTGTGGGGAGTGGGCCAACTGCTTTACACTTTATTGCCGTTCATTTGGCTATGAATCTCGTCTGGTTAGTGTGTTCTCTATATTGCAGACATACAAGAAGAGTGACTTCATCTAAAATTTCAGCTACTCCAACTTAAACTTACAGCTCAATTATGCAAACCAGCCAAATCATCTTGTTTCTCTTATTTATTTTCGGCAAACAGATCGTCTCGTTTCTTACATGACCTAATTGAACAAGCCTCAGTCAAATTAAGTTTCATTTGGCTTTTGGTCTGTTCATGTGTTGACGAAGGTCCTTTCGCGTTTTGGCTTTTGTAGATAATTACTCCTGACCATTTCCCTTATGCATCCAGATTCTTGATTTTACTGACCATGTCTGGACAGAGTGCTACTCCCGAGCTTTGGGAAGGTGACCTTTCATTAAGTAATAAATGGGCAACTCTTGATTTATACCTACACAAACTAATGCTGTTCTGAACTAACAAAAGGACTTATTTCCCAGATGGATGCATCTCGACCCATGTGAAGCTGTTTACGATAAACCACTGCTATACGAAAAAGGGTACTCTTTTGATTCATCTTTCTATCTATAATCTTCGCAAGAGTTCTTCTCTGAAATCCCATGTTTGTTCGTGTGCTGGCATGTGATATTCATGCTTTATAATACAGATGGGGTAAGAAGTTGAATTATGTAATTGCATTTTCAAACGATGGAGTTCGTGACGTGACTAAGCGTTACACTAGGAAGTGGCTGGAGGTTTTGTCCAGGCGGAACATCACCACCGAGCCGGTTGTATCTGCTGCCGTCACCAAACTGACAAATGAATGCCGACGGAACTTCACATCTTTAGCACTATCCGTCCTCCAAGATCGTGATAACAATGAGTCTGAGGAACTTGACAGAGATTTACTTTCTCAAGACGAAGACTATTCCTCTGTCTCATTACCTGGAAGACAAAGTGGGGACAAGGAATGGCGCCTTTCTAGATCAGAAACCGCGCCTGACTCTAACGACTCTCTAAGCACTTCTTCCTGTCCAACTCGCACGTGCATAGATAAGCACGTGACGAGGGTTCACAATGCAATTGCCCGTCTACTATCTCTATGTGTTGAGAATTCGGTTCCTCGGTACAGGGTCTCCGAGATATCAAATATATTCAGGAAGATGCTGGTGGATGTCAGGAGTTCTTCGCATAAGGCGAGGAGAGTTGTCGTTAATCCATTTATCATGCTTTTGTTCCCATACTTTGACGAGTTGCTCCGTGCTCTGTCTCTGAAGTTCGAGATAGGTGGTTACGGTAGAGTGGAGGTGTGTCTAGCTGGAGAGCCTGTGTTTACATCATTGTCATTGCCCGTCGTTTTGGATGCACTGGAAGATCTTATTAACTCTCTGAACAAGATCAATAGTTTAGACGGAGATTCCCTTTCTTTGCCGCTTATAAAATCAAATCGGATTCATTCGGGAATGGTGGTTGCAAGTGGCGAAGAACTACCTTTTGGAATTGTGAGTAGCGATCTGTGCTCAGTTGACCTCTGTGTTGAGACTTTTCTCTATATTTACTTGATTTGCAAATGGATATGTTTGTTTTTCCCTTTTTGTTGGGTATATTTGCAGGCGACCTCGGCGTTTGATGGATTACGAGCTTCCAAATGGGAGGAACCAAACGGTTCAAAAGGTATAATGACCAATTTTCATGAATACCCAGCATGATCAGGACACGATAGCATGATTTGGATACCATATAACCCTAGTCCATGCAGGTGGATGGATCTTGTACAGACTAAAAGACGGCATGGCATGTGAATTAGCGGCTTATGAGATAACGTCTGCCAACGATGCCCCGGAGAGGGATCCAATGGATTGGTATGGTTTCCATAAAATTTCATCGTGGGCTCACCTTTTCTGGTCATTTGTTTAACTTTCATGTTTGTCTTACCCTGCAAAACAGGGTTGTAGAAGGAAGCACTGATGGTGGATCCAACTGGTACATTTTGGACAAACGAGCTTCCCAGGTGTTCGAAGATCGATTTCAGTGTCGATCATTCGAAGTTCAGCGACAAGGTCTTTGCTGCAATGTCTTCAGGTAAGAATTCGTTTTCTTCTTTCAGAGATTGTTCGAGCTGAGAGATTTTTAGCTCTTTTCGTTCAAGTGAATGGAACTTGATGTTAAGACTGGCACTGGCAGGTTCCGGTTTCTGGCAGTGAAAGATATTCAATCTACTTCCCGGCTGCAACTGTGTAGTATCAACCTGTATACACGGGGCCAGTTATCGCTTGAACTCTCTGATTTTGAAGTCATTGATTAGGGCAAAACCCCACACATGTTTCATATGTATTTCAACATCTGTAGCATCGGCATTCATTTTTATTAGGTAAATGCTATTTATTAGTCTTCAAACATCAGGAACTTTGATGGGTGTTTTGGTCTGTACTTCATTATGCATGAACAACGATCTCTTATCGAATCAGTATTTGTTTGATCGAGTTGGGCCGCATATGTATAACCCGTTGCACTTGTGCTTCTTTATTTCTCTTCTTTTATGTTATGTTATAAAACAAAGAAAAGAAATGAGCTGGATAATATGTGTTAGTAAGAAAACAATGTAATATGTGTTAGTAAGAAGACAATGGAAATCGAGGTTACTGAAATCTCTCGCTGAGTCGCTGATTAGGTATGCCTATTTGTGCACAAAAGTATTACTTGCTGGTCATTTCCAGGATAAAACAACCTTCTCTTCTAACTCGGTAGTTTTTGTGCGAAAAAAATGAGCTTCTTGAATTTTCTCTCTCGTGTTTCTGTTCGTTTGTTATGTGTTCAGAGAGGATTGGAGACTACTGTTTACAGTAGCTAGGCCCCACGATGTAGAAAAAAACGAATATGCCGTTTCCATTCGTTTTTTATATGATTACATTAGTTTATATTAGGGCTGCAAATGAGCCGAGCTGAGCCGAGTTTTACCCCAGCTTGAGCTTGACTCGTTAACAAATGAGCTGAGCTCGAGCCCGAGCCATTTATTAACGAGCTGAGTCGAGTCGAGTTCGAGTTAGGCTTGTTTACTAAATTCTTAGATCGTAGTTAATACATTCATTTTGTATGTCGTGTATGGTACATGTGATTGATGTAGTGATAAAAAAATAATCAAATGTTCAACATTAATTAATCTTATATTATAATTTTTAGGTGTCATATTGTTTAGTTAATAAATTTTAACTAGTTCAAATCATGTTATTTCATAGTATCGAAATAATTTTTTACATAATTTCTTTATAGAGTTAAAAATAAGGCATATTTTCTTACATGTTCAACATGTTAAACTTCACATGATGTGAGATATATAATTTAACAATCCTATGAATTATGAAAGTCCAAATTAGATCGATTAGTCCATAAGTCAGTGATCAAGTTGGCCCTCAAACCACAATGTTGAGACATCTCATGAGCTCTAAATGAGCTAACTCACGAGTTGAGCTCAACAAGCCACCGAGTCGAGCTAGCTCGCGAGCTTCACGAGCTGAACATAGCTAGGCTCAAGCTTGGCTCGTCAGTAAACGAATCGAGTTTCGAACGAGTTTTTCCCGATTCGAGCCTCGAGTTGCTCGCGAGTAGCTTGGCTCATTTGCAGCCCTAGTTTATATGCTTCTAAAATTAGTATACTAGTTGCAATTGGAAGTGTAAAACATGCATTTTCATAATTAACGGGGACACCAAGATTTGGCATTCCAAAATGAAATATATTTTTATTACTATCATAATGTCAATTTTCTGCCATATAAATACTTAATTATTAAAATAAACTTCATAAACCATATTGATATTACAGAATTAAAAAACCGTAAGTTGAAAACGATAAGAGCAATTATTGAAATATGTTAAAACTGAAAAAGAGAATTAAAATAATTAAGATGAAAACGGTAAGAGCATAAATACTTAATTACTAAAATAAATGAATTCATAAACCATATTGATATTACAGAATTAAGAAACCCTAAGATGAAAACGGCAAGACCAATTGTTGAAATATGTTAAAACTGAAAAGAGAATTAAATAAAAAAAAGATGAAAACGGTAAGAGCAATTATTGAGACATATTAAAATTGAAAAGAGAATTAAAATAAACAACTTCATAAATCATATTGATATTACAGAATTAAGAAACCGTAAGATGAAAACGGTAAGACCAATTATTGAAACATGTTAAAACCGAAAAGAGAATTAAAATAAAAAAGATGAAAACGGTAAGAGCAATTATTGAGACAGACCAATTATTGAAACATGTTAAAAACGGAAAGAGAATTAAAATAAAAAAGATGAAAACAGTAAGAGCAATTATTGAGACGTATTAAAACTGAAAAGAGAATTAAGATAAAGATTGCGTTTCGAACTCACAATTTGAAGGAGTAACAAAATGCTCTCACCTGCTAGGCTACTTAGCTTCAATATTTTATATTTGCACACTAAACAACTTTATACATAGACTTTAGCTTGTACGAAATTTCCAAATACCAATATAGTTTACACGTAACTTTCCGAATTCTCGGGGAGGTCCCCTCCAGCAGATCATATGTAGTTCCACCCCTATTTACGAGCGTATCACATTTGTGAAAGAGGAGTTGAAAAAGAAAAAATTAAACAAGAAGACAGTAAAAAAGCTACAGAAAAAGTAAACTAGTGGCGTCAAGAATGGACGAAACAAGCAAAGAAGTGACAGGTAATCTCATAATATAAACGAGATGACGAGTTCACTTTCAAAGAGGAGTGTTATAATGTGAAGGTTAATTCTAGAATTTACCAAATAATTAATGAAAAAATAAAAATCAAATTAGTGGAAAAGAAGTCAGCTGGTGGAGATCTGGGACAAGAATGCTATGGAAACATTATTTGACTGGACAATGTTGTAAAAAAAAAAAAAAGGAGTGTGTAAAGAAAACACTAATAATAATAAAATAAAAAATGAAGGTGGTACAGACAGTACGAAACTTTTTTCCTAAAAAATATATAAAAAATTTGTAGATCACGGGGAACTTGTTCCCTATATCACTATGACCACGTTCCGTATAAATTTGGTTTATGTACAAATTCATAGTCAAATTAAGGTTATATAGATGCAATGTTTTAGCTGCCAGCCTGCTAGCCTAACTTGGTATCCAATTGAAACAAATAGAAATATAAATGGTAACAGACAGTTTCTTGAGGTGAATTGGTAGAGGTGGTTGAGGATGTTGTCCAGAACATCAGCTCCCCCGAATCTGATGAAGACATCGTACTTGGTTTGGTGGGGTGCACAATTTCCGGAACACCGGCTCTGTTGCTTGCTGCTAAAAGGAATCATCTCCGAAGAAGAACAAGAGGAACCTTGGTCAGGCGACAATGGCATGGTGGAAGTAACTACTAACTACTGTTATGGAAAACGTTTCACAAAAGTATGTTCTTGCCACACAAGTCATATATAGAAATCGACACATGCATAAACAACGCTCGAGCCAATAGAATTCACTATTTCTCCTTAAGGAATTTAGTTCCCCTCTACGGTACCCAAGGTTATTGGAACTATTCCTCCCAGGATAGAACGGACGTACCTTTTCTGGCTGTACCGGTACTTGAAACACCAGAATCCGACGAACGCAACGATCGGAGAGAAGTCACACGACTCTGTTTTCCTTTATGAGTTTGTAGAGAGGAAATGCAATGAAGAATGAAAAATTCTTTTATCTTTTTGGCCAGAAAAATTTCTTGGGAAAATAACTTGTGTTAAAAACAGAAGGGGGTAGGTGATTATTTATAGACAATGAAGGGGTGCAAGTGAAGGGATGTGACCCTTCTAGTGGGTGGTTACACCCCAACCATTGCAATGGTTCAGTGAAGGGATGTGACCCTTCAAGTGGGTGGTTACACCCCAACCATTGCATCGGTTCGCCATAGTTGTTGAACCGGTTGGTTCATTCCAACCGCCACATCGGTCCGGTCCGATTCGGTTTAACTTGGTTTAACCAATAACTCACCAACTATTGGCTTCTTCCCCTTTCATTCTCATTCACACCTTTCAAATCCTAACAATCCCCCACATGAAAGAGAATGCTAAGTTTTGAAAACTATGCAAAAAACTGTGTGACTCTCAACTAAGAATTAGTTGTATTAGGATAGGTGGGTTTCCCTTTGAACCTTCCCTAGTGAACATATATCGAGTATACTCACCAATCGGTAGATATGATATCTTTGAACCGTCGGTTTTTCTTGTATACTAAGACAACATATGTCACACAACCAACTCTTATCCGCTCGTTGGTTCTCATTGTTGTGTTCGTTTCAGCCATGAACACCGCCTGGTTTCATGAGTGTGTAGAGAATTGGCCTTCTTTTATTCTCCTTGAAGCGGCTCCACTTCACACTCACATACGTGATGTCTAAACATGTATTCCGAAAAATACACTATTTGATCACAACACTTGTCAAACTTAGAAACCATTAAAAACCTTTCATATTTAGGTTTACCCTTATATTTTGGACATTGTCTCATCATGAGAATGGACTTTGAATAATTTGACAATGTCGGACCATCAATCACAACTTTGTTTTTGTCCTTGAACCTAGAGGTTGGGTCTGCCAATCCTGCTTAGGTAGAGTTACCGCCATGATGATTTGTCCTAGGCCACGAGTCCATTCCCTTCGATGCTTTAACAAATTTCTAGGTGGGCCCCAAATTTGTTATCACTTGATCTACATGATCAACTTAGATAACTTCTCTAGAAATTGACCTTAGTGTTATGTTTTCATTATCAATGACGAGATTTTTCACATAACACTTCTAGCCCTTGCAATAACCATTTTGTGCACAAGTGCGTTTATTAACGCCAGTCTATGCGGGCCAGACTATTAAACTTCACCGGTCTTGAGTGGGTATATATTTAGTCAACTTGGATGTTTTCCAAGATACTGCTCCCCATCAACCATAAATGCATATCCATTAATAGATTGCCTTTTGGTTCATCCGGTGAGTTCCCTTTGGGTACAATACACCAAAGACTCGTCTCTTTTCAATTCACTACACATCTTGTGAGCTTGACTTGATTTTATTGCCTTGCAATAATCATAACACATGCCAACGGTATTGAAGTCTCTCCTACTTCATTAACCTTAGTGTACTTGAGCTTCACAAGTGTACTTGAGCTTAACAAGTATCTCTTTAAATGTAGTGACATTTATGACGTAGCTTAGGGTTTACGCAAAACTTCTAAGTATCACTTTCACTTTAGAATCACCCAAGCGACATTCCACATTACTTCTCCCCAATTTATCCCCCACATTTCAACTATTTCGCCATAGTTGTTGAAACCAACACTTCCTATTTGGGGAATGTTGTTCATATACATTCATGTATATGGTCAAAAGCATCTCTTTGGGAAGAGTGAATCAACATCAATAAATATTATAGCTCTCTGACATAACATCATTATACGCTAGAGTTTACTCATAAGTTATACCCTTGGACTGGGTTAACTCCACAAGGTTTAAGGACTCTCACTTTCTCATTGGACACCTTCATACTTTCAAGTATGACTTCATTTACCTTTCCACTTTTGTCTTATGGATAGGTTTGCGTCCCATTGTAGGGTCTCGAGATAGTAGCCAAAACAATGGCTAGCTCTTCTCCCCCACAATTCTACCTTTTGCCAAACATCATGGAATA